TTTAGGAAATCCCGTAGCAAAGTCGTTAATGTATTTTCGACAGAAACTGGTTGAGTAATATGATGTTCATCAGTCATTTTGTTCAATATTATACGCACAGTTTTCGTTTTAACGTAAACTTCACTTCAAAAAAAAAAAAAAAAAAAAGGAAAGCAAACTCTATATTTTTAACTGCACAAAAACACCACTGTTCACAAAAAAAGTAAGTGTTTGAGCGAAAATATTTCTTAGACTACCTAATCGACAACCGATATAAAAAAATGACAATGACTTAATTCATGTTTGAAAGCGGCATCAAATCAAACAAAAATAAATAAATAAATAATAAAAATAAATAAAAGACGCTGAAATACATTAGCTATTGACAAAATATACTTAGCTGAATATCTTCTTATAACGTGAAATCAAATAGTCCCATCTTTAAAAACACAACTCTGCCATTTTTCTTTGACGGTCAACTTTTATCTTCATGATATTATAAACAATTTTTAGTCGCGACGGCTCGAGCAGTATAATAAATTTTTAGACGTCGATTTTAAATAATGGATTCTTTGTATCCCACTTTCTGATTTTAGATTTTAAATATTATACCGTATCAAGACAAGGCACGTAGTTACTCTTCGCCCGAATAAGAATAACTGCTTGGACATGTCAAAACGGAATACGTCTATATTATCTAGTGCCATATATGCACAGTGGCGCGCTAACAAGATATTCAAAAGATCATTTTACCAGGGAGAAAATTTAATTCATCTGAAAATTATAGAAGTAAATAAATATTTAAATAAAATGTAATAAATTTAAATACTATGGCCAAGTTTTCTAAACATCTTTTTAATGAACTCATATTTAAAAAAAATTGACATGATAAAATAGAAATTTATATACAGAGTGAACAAAAAGTAACTTAACTTATTATTATGTATATTCCTGATAAGTTTACAAAAAAAGATTTGATGAAAGTTTCATGAAATAAATCAAGTTAATAAGAAATACACCTTCGTGCTTTATAAGAAATATACTGGGTTGACCAGTATTCATAAATTACAAAAGAATATATTTTTTAAATAGTTTTTCGTACTAAATTAAATTTAAAATAAAACCGTTAAAATAACATTGTGCTAACTTTATTAGCCATTAACCATCATCCATTCGTTATTTTTGAGTAATGGTGCACCCGATATATTTTTAACTGACTTGCAAAATATAAACGTTTCCTGACATACCTACACCATGAAATTACGTTCGTCCTACCACGCACAGTGGAGCGCCACTGTGCCACCCAAATTAATCTACGACTCACAGGATTGGTCCGTTTTAGACGTGCGTCACCTTAAAATGTTCGTCTTGAGTTTGCCTATCGACCCTTGTTCCGGGATTTTTGATTTCGAATTTTATTTTTCTGTAATTTGTGTCTAAAAATTTACTTTCATGGAAAAATGGCGATTTTGGGTGCAAAAGTCATCCTAGCGAACGCAACATTGAGTTTTTACAAAACTTTTTTGAAGGAAACTCTTCCTCTTGACAACCCCTACAACCCTATGTACGTCAAATTGCGAGAGAAATTGGCCGTCATGCCTAAAAACGACCATAGTGATCCAAAACTATTGATGCGAAACGAAATTGTTCCTCAAAAATCTATTGGAACAAAAATCTAAATTTGTTTCAATAAAAAGTGTTTGTAATCAATCCAGCAATACGTACACATTTTCTCAGAATGTTTGAGGATATTTTTGGCCATTTAATTTAGTGATAGTGATAGTAGATGATAATGAATCCGATTCTGATTGAATATTTGAAAATACTTATTAGAAAACCAGAAAAAAGAAAAAAAAAAACCTCCTCGCGGTGTGTCCTGGGTAATGCTAAGAGAGTATTGATTGAAAAATTGATTAATGATTTATTGATAATGAACTATAATGTCGGAAATAACGACCTTTATGAGAAACTTGTATTGAACGAAAAGTGTTCAGTATCACCTAAGGAATATGTCCGAATTTTTACAGAATTTTTGGAAATTTTCCGAGATTCTGGAATTTGGCGATTTCCTGGCCAAATGAAATGGCCAAAAATATCCTCAAACATTCTGAGAAAATTTGTACGTATTGCTGGATTGATTACAAACACTTTTTATTGAAACAAATTTAGATTTTTGTTCCAATAGATTTTTGAGGAACAATTTCCTTTCGCATCAATAGTTTTGGATCACTATGGTCGTTTTTAGGCATGACGGCCAATTTCTCTCGCAATTTGACGTACATAGGGTTGTAGGGGTTGTCAAGAGGAAGAGTTTCCTTCAAAGTTTTGTAAAAACTCAATGTTGCGTTCGCTAGGATGACTTTGGCACCCAAAATCGCCATTTTTCCATGAAAGTAAATTTTTAGACACAAATTACAGAAAAATAAAATTCGAAATCAAAAATCCCGGAACAAGGGTCGATAGGCAAACTCAAGACGAACATTTTAAGGTGACGCACGTCTAAAACGGATCAATCCTGTGAGTCGTAGAGTAATTTGGGTGGCAGGTGCCACGTCCCAATTACCTTAGAAGCTAGCACGCTTGGCCGATGTTTTGAAATTTGCGCGCATCCTTTTCACACTTATACCATAACTATGCTCGTTCCACAAACGGCCTTACCCCTAGAGGCAGGAGCGAGTGAAGCGAGTGCGCTCTTTTTACACCTACACCATAAGAGCCAGCTGTGCGCGTCCTACCAACAGGTTTGCTACTTGATGAAATAGCATGCGAAGCGAGGGTGCCCTTTTCATACCTTTACCATGATAATCAGCTACGCTTATCCCAACAACGGCTTTACCACTGGAGGAAGGAAGAAAGCGCCTGACAGACGTTTCGAAATTCGCGAGCGCGAATTCTGAAATGTAGGCCGTGCACGTCCTTTCTACACCTACACCATAAGAGTCAGCTACGCTTGTCCTAACAATGGCCTCACTACTAGAGGAAGGAGCGAGCGAAGCGAGCACGCTCTTTTTACACGTACACCATAAGAGTCAGCTGCGCTTATCCCAACAACGGTCTTACTACTAGAGGAAGGAGCGAGCGAAGCGAGCACGCCCTTTTTACACCTACACCATAAGAGTCAGCTGCGCTTATCCCAACAACGGTCTTACTACTAGAGGAAGGAGCGAGCGAAGCGAGCGCGCCCGGCCGACGTTTCGAAATTCGCACTTAAAAAATTGGCAACATGGCTATAGAAAATGATAGAGGTTTTTTTAAGAAAATTGAGGTTATATAAAAAAAATGGTTTATTTTGTGATTAATATACAATATTTTTATATTAACTTTGGTTATTTGGGTTTTGCCGCAGTTAAATTGATCAAAAATAGTAAGTAGTATCATTTGCATTAAGAATATAGCGAAAATAAGTGAAAATTGTTGTGTCCGTATTGTTTACAGTCACCGATACTGCAATTAAATTAAATTTACCCGTTTATATAAGTAAATAAAAAAGTTAAACTACATCTACCAATTTAATGTGGGCACCGCATATGCGCAGGCTTAGTAGAGAGCTGGGCAGTGAAAGTATAAACATAATTTAGAAAAAAGTTAAGTTATAGGGTTTCCAGTGGTATATTTGAAAAGTATTGTTACGTGTTTCATTTTTGAAAGCTAATTGGATTTTTTGGTTCTGAACCCTTGATTATCTTTTCAGTGGACAGTTACTGCTCAGTTTATAAAAATCAGTTCAAGAAATTATATAATTATATTAGGAATTAAAATAATCAATATAATATTTGGAAGTAGTTTCCAATAAAAAAAAAATGTAAAATTTTATTATACTTTATGAAGAAAATTGTGCATTGTGGCGCTGAAAATTTATTTAAAATTATTTTTATTTAAAACTTATGAAATTTTACAAAAACTTACCAAAAATTTAGAGATCCCAAAAAAATAGTGTCACAAAAATCAAAATTTTGCTAAACTGTCAATTTTAGAATTGATAACTTGATTTTTTTATTTATTACTTATTTGCAGTTAGTAAAGTTAGTATGTAATACATTTATACAAATACAGTGTGTCCACAAATGGACTTAACTATACTTGTAAAAATATTTATTTAAAATTTAAAAAAAAAATTAATCTACATAATTTCTTTTATTTGTTGAGAAACTTAGATTTTGTGGTACAGGGTATGCAACAAAAATACAACTTATTGTAAATTTGCAAAATTTAAAATTTTGTAAGGGGGTGGGTGGCTCAGTGGTAGAGTCTCTGCCTGCGGATCCAAGGGTCCCAGGTTTGAATCCCACCGTTGGCCGGGATTTTTTTATTTAATTTAATTATTTAAAATTAATTCTGATGCCTTGGTAGGATTCCCCACTCAACCATTCACTGTTGGGTTCTAATTAACAGTGTTGTTCCTAAAGTGACGCTGGGAAACAGTAACGAAACCTACACAGATAACGAGGCTAATGGCCTTAATAGACGATGCCGATGACATCAAATTAAAAAAAAATATTAATTTTGAAAATCCATAATTGTTGCTCAACAAAATCGAACATTTTCAATTTGATTCTTATTTATTTAATGTGCAAAAGAAATTATGAAGAATGAATTTTTCTTAATTTTAAATAAATATTTTTACATGTATAGTTAAGTCCATCAGTGGGCACATTATATATGTATCCCTGCATGAAAAACTGGCTTTGCTAGCCGTAATTGAGTGACTCAGTGCCAGAGTTGCCCAACCAACAAAATTTCAAAACAACCTTTTTTCGTATATTATTATTCCAAAATAATTTCTGTGTGTGCCAAATTGCCAATTCATCTAGTAGATGCAGGTAAAGTGCTTTGATCTCCATTGACTCCCTTCTAATAATTTGTTGGTTAAGCAACTCTGACACTGAACCACTCAATTATAAATCAGCAATTTCAATTATTAGACAAAATATTTAAATTAAAAAAAAAATACTGTTTTGAAAAATCTAAATCCATTTCTATTTTAGCTTTAAAAAATTTGAATACTAAAAATTGAGACTTACCTAACAGATCGCTGTCTTTTTTTTCTGGTTTCTTATTTTCTGCACTATTAACAATTCTAGATGGCTTGGGGCTACGGTTGGTAGGTTTAGGAAGTTGCGGTACTTCAACAGATCCTAGTGACTTCTTTTCCACTATAGTTTTCTTTTTACGTTTCTGTTTTTCAATTTCTTCATCTATTTCCTTCTCCCAATTTACTTTTGGCAAAGCGGGTGGGACCCATTCACGAGCAATGTACTTCTTGTGCTCATATTTTGCTCTAATGAATGACTCTAGACTAGAGTCATTCTGAGGGCGCCGGAAATTATCAGGAAGGTTTGCCTCATAGACTGCTCTAGCTCTGTAAATTTATTTAAAAAGGTGTTAAAGCCACTATTATTCTTATTTTATGATAATATTTTTAGATATGAATTATTTATTACAAGTCAAATAAAATCTGAGAATGCCTTTCAAAATCATTTTTTTTTATTCCTACACATTGAATGTGCACACAAACTTCTTTACTATGCTCCTGGCCAAATTTATTAGGATCTGAGAAGCAATTTATTTCTAGCCAACATTAGACTGTCTATTTATGAATATTAATTTAATTGTAAGTAACAAACATATTTTATCAGCTGTAATGGTTTTTCTTTTAATAAAAACATTTTTTATCTTTTTTGGTAACTCCATAACTACATAATTATAATACCTATTGCAATACCTATTGTAATATTATTTTTTGTTACAAAAAATCCACTACAGATGTAGCACCATTTGCTACTTTGTAATTCACTTAAATGCTTCTCTTTAATTTGAAAAAGTAATAAAAAATAGAACTACGTCAATAAATCAATTCATTGCTGGAAAGGTAAAGGGGCGTAAGTTGAAAATGTCCAATTTGACTTAAAACCACCACAAATCTGTTAAAGTGTATATAATATATATGATGTGACAAGGGGAGTATATCTCCTCCTTATAGTTAACATATAGTATAGCAAATAATATGTGGAGGGATGCAGCAAAGCACTATACACCAAAAGTTGAATTGCATCTAGTGTAAATTATCTAAAATGGACTTACGCCTCTTTATCTTTCCAGCGAAGAATTAATGGCTTTTTTTGATCACATAAATAGATAGATAATAAGTAAGTATAGCTATAATTTACAATGAGTTAATTGGTCTAAAAATAGTAACTGTTTTGGTTATAAAACCTTGTTTAGGTCAGACACTACTTTTAGGTTTGTTTTATCAATTCTTTCTATCTCAAAAAATGTTTAAAAAATAAATTTATTGAATAATACCCTAACAAAATAGTCATAAATTGATACCAATTTTTTTTATTCAAAGGAAAAATACTTTACCTTGAGTTGCCCATTTGTTGTAAAGAAACCACTTGCTCTGGAGTCCATGAATCTAAATTGACAGATTTTACTTTGGAAATATGTACTCCTAAGTTTCTGTGTATTCCAGCACAACGTATGCATAAAAATACTCCTATATTCCATGATGCCCATCTCGGTCCTGAAATAGGTACAAATTTTCACAACACAACAATAACTTTATCAAACATTAACATTAGGTATTTGGGTTTTCCTTCAATAGTTAAATATTTTAAATTACTTAAGTATAGATAAACTTCATAAAATTAAATTCTCAGTTGCTTCCATGTATGATGTACCTAATTAAAAATAATAAAAAAACTAACAATATTGAGTGTTCCAGATTATTTTTTATTAAATATTGTTTATTGGATATATTTCCTACCAAAGAGAAAATGTGAAACAATTAATTAACCAGCAGGCTGTTATTTGATATTTGGTAAAAAATAATGCAGATAATGATTTAGAAAATTACCTTTTGAGTCACAATCTACACAATATTTATTATCTTCATCCCTTAACAATGTGTTTAGAACTGACTGACATTTATCCTGTAATTGCTTTGTTTTGTCTTTTTCAGGTTTTAGGCTCATTTTTATTTTTTTAATTATTTATATTTATAAACACATAAAAGTTAAGTAAATTAAATGACAACGTAGGGGTGGTTGCCATTCACAAACGTCACTTTCTTTAAAACGCATGCGTCATCATTTCGATTATCGTGGCCGTGGTTTATTCGATCGTTTGTTGATCAAATTATTTCCTTTTACCCATATGTTAAATAGCCACCCTTCACACATAGCAAAAAATTATTGCCATAAATAAAATTTCGTAAATTGAATGGTGTATTGGAAATGGTATATGGGAAACTAGTCCGATTTGTTTTAAAACACTACTTTTTAAACTTTGATAGAGAGCAAACATCCGCTAAAACTGAACTGTTGTAACGGTATAGTTCAGTGTCCGCTAACGTTATATATTAGCGGTATACTGTAATCTATCCCTTTGAATAGGTATGAAAAATATCACAATCTAAGTTTAACGTGACGTTAACGGAGATCTTACATTTTTGCTAAAACTCTCTATTTGCTAATGAAAATAATTTCTAGTAATCTCGTAGGGTTTTGTTTCCTTTAATGATAAGGCCAATATGAAAATAAGAAAATTGGTAGCTTGTTACTGACTTAAAACATAAGAGTAAGAGACCATATTTCAATAATTTTACCAAACCCTGATTTTCATTTCATATTTGATTTTTTTAATTTATACAGTAAATAAAAGTTTTTAATTTATAAGTATTTGATAGATAAAATTAAACACCAAGAATGGAGTCGGCAGAAGAACACTTTCTTTCTTTAAAAGGTAAATAATCTTAAAAGTAAATATTCAACTCCTTTAATATATGGGTAAAATTATTCTAGTAATGAGGCTAACTAGACCTACCTTAGCTAGTCCTTTTCCTATAACTTGTGATAGCAAAGATCTACCAGGAAACTTATTAAATAACGCTCTACAACAAGATCCTACAGCTGTGGAAGGAACAGAAACACTATGTATTGGACAATTTTTATTATTACCACAAACGCCTGTAAATATTTATCTAGGAGAGACATTTTCCAGCTACATTTGTGTTTATAGTGAAACTAAGGAGATCGTTAACAATGTTTCAGTTAAAGTGAGTAATTAGTTATTAATGGTGGGGTAAACATAAAGTGACCATCCATCCCAATTTAGGTGGGACAGTCCTAATTTTAAAGCTGAATTTATAAACTACGTTCAGTTGCCGCTCAGTTCGAGTTGACAAGATATAACCACAAATTCCACAATATAAATTATTTGTTATTTTTATTTTTATTATATTTGTAGATGGTGTGGTTATAACATAATTATAAATCCGTTATAATTTCTTATCCAAAACATACCGTGTCATTCTGCTTTGTTTATGTTGAACTCAAACTGAACGAAGTTTATAAATCCAGCTTAAACTATTAACATGTGTACTGATGTTGTCCCACCTAAAAATACAATTTTTATGGTGATATGACAACATAATTTTGTATCCAGTACATCAAAAAGAGAATATTTTTTGCAACAAATTTAAAATATAACCAATTTATTAGGGTTTAGTTTTATTATTTAATAAATAATAATTAGGCATTCTTGTTTCTTTGTTAGTGTAAGTCATGTTTTACTGTTGATGCATATTCAGTTTTTATAGAAATCTTCCATGTTGTCCATTCGTCCCGCTTTCTACTTTTTAAAATATGGTCACTTTAGGTAAAAATGTAATTTGTAAAATTTAAATTTGTTTAAGGTTGATTTACAGACAAGCTCCCAAAGGTTATCACTCTCATCTAACCCCCCTACTCTTCAGCTATATCCTGAAAAAACAGTTGATGTTGTCATACACCATGAAGTAAAAGAAATTGGTACACACATGTAAGTTTTACAACACAATTATATGTTTTTAGTCCATATATTTAATTACAGATTAATCTGTGAGGTTACATATCAGTCTTTAATTGGAACTCCAATGTCATTTAGAAAATTCTTTAAAATTATGGTAATGAAACCATTAGATGTCAAAACAAAATTCTATAATGCAGAAAATGATGATGTGTACTTAGAAGCACAAGTTCAAAATATAACTGCTGGCCCCATTTGTTTAGAGAAAGTTGCTCTTGATGCATCTCATCTTTTTAATGGTAAGACCTCTTGTTAAATAACTGAAATTCCTAATATTTAAATTATTTTTTTAGTTATTTCTCTGAATTCAAATAAAAAAGGAAACAGTATATTTGGGAAATTAACTATTCTCCAACCTCAAGCTATTTGTCAGTTTTTGTATTGTTTAATACCAAATGAGAAACTAGCCTCGGACTTAAAGTCGCTTAGTGGAGCTACCAATATAGGCAAATTAGATATTGTCTGGAGGTCTAATTTAGGAGAACGTGGAAGACTTCAAACCAGTCAATTACAAAGAATGGTAAACAGATCAGAAATATTTTTTGTTTAAAAACTAACTTTTATCTAATTTTAGAGTCCTGAATATGGAGATATCAGAATGACAATAGTTGAATTACCAAATTTTGTTGTTTTGGAAGAATTATTTACTTTTAAGTGTAAATTGATTAATAATTGGTAATCATTTAGAATAATTAAAATTATTATTATTTTCCTAAATTTTTTTTTTTTTTAGTGAAAGAACAGTGGAGTTGATGATTTATTTAGAAAATGTAGAAGGTATAGCTTGGTGTGACATATCAGGAAGAAAATTGGAACCACTTCTACCTATGTCACATACAATATTAGAATTCCGGTGCATTCCTTTATTACCAGGTTTAAGAACTATTTCTGGAATAAAATTATTAGACACATTCCTAAAAAGAACCTATACTTATGACGAATTAGGGCAAATATTTGTGATTGTAGAAAATACAGAAAAAGTTAAAAACATTTAATTAAGAGAGTTACTGTTGCATAATTTTTTCCAGGCGTATATATTATTACATAAAAAATTACAATTTTATATTAAGTAAGCATATTATGTAAATTATAAAGGTATTACAGTATCAACACTTTCATTAAAAAATAACACCCTAAATATATCTTCATAAAATTGTGGATAATAATCACAAGCCCTTTTACAATCGGGGGTAAAGTTTATTTCTAAAATTTTTGGTTCAATTTCTTTATCCTCCGTCCATTCAAGCATAATATCAGCAGCATACAGAGCTCTAGATTGTGGGTTATGAGCTATTCCACAAGGGGGTTCTTCTATAATTGCACATTCCAGAATATCTTTCAACATTTTAAAAATTAATTTTTCAACAGTATCCCACTCATAGTCTGGATACTGCACCAACCAATTCAATAAAAAATCTGTATACTTCATATGTTTTAGATCTGCATTTTCTATATAATTCATTACAGTAAAATGTTTTTCATATTCTTCAAAATCATTTAATTCAAATGGTTTATTTGCGAATCTCAAAAAAAAATGCTTATAAACATATGCCTTGAGAGGTTTAACACTTTCTAACAATAATACATATCTAATGTCAAATTTGACTCTGCCATTACATTCTGGTCTGTAGAATAACACAGGATTTGTAATATATTTTTGAACTATTTTTGGCCCTGTAAGTGAAACTCTTAGAATATAATCCAAATTATTAGTTATATGAATATCCAAGCTTCTAGCAAGGTTGTAAGGTTTCACAATCCAAAAATTATCGAATCCCTCTTTATCTCTTTTCTGAAAATAACTAACAAAATGTCCAATTTCAGTAATTAAATTATAAGAAGTGGGCAACCAGTTTAAAGCCGTTTGTTTTCTCCTACAAGTTATACATAAAAGATCCTTAACTGTTAACACATATTCAAATGGAAACTGGTTTATAAATTTCTCTGGACTGCAGCTTAATTTTTTGAAATCCTTAAAATGTTCAGTATACCATAAAATATCAGCATCATCAGGGTTGTCAACTATGGTAAACTTGTTTGAATTCAAATTGATGTTAATTAAACTATATTGGGAGTAAACTTTTAAGACATTTCCAAGAACCTTTTTACCTTCAAGTTTTGATAAATCTGGTAAACTCTCCTTGATATGACCAGAAAGAAAATATTCTTCATCAGGCATAGGAGGATTTACATCAATTGATTCAAATGATTTAAAAACCCAAGGAAGTAAAATCGCTTCTCTTCTAATAGATTCAGTTATACCTTCAGCAAAATCTCTTGTAATTATTTCTGCTTCTTTGATATCCTCTATAGGAAATAAAATTGAATAGGTGATTTGGTCATTAATATAAACAAATGGCACAATTCTACAATTTGGATGATTACTATGTGTAACAGCTGTTCCAACTTCATCCATGATATACCATATTGGGAGTCTATCTTCCACATCCTTAGCATTACTTATTGAATAGAAATTATTTATTTTCCAGAGATTGTCAAGCAACTTGTCAATTAGTTCTTTTTTATCTAAATTAAAAGCTATATTTAAAATGTTACAGAGTCTTTTTATAAGAACATCATGTTCTAGTAATTGTTGTTTCCCATTAATTTTATATGTCCAAGCATGATCAATAAGATAAATATGTTGAGCATTACATTTATTTATGTCTTTTAAAGCTCTAAGTATTAGCGACGGATGATGTTTATCATTTTCTTCGTCGTCCTGCTCAACTTTAAGTAATTCAAAATATTCTGAAGTATTAAAAGTTTGATTTACCAATTTTGTATACAAAGTTTGCCAAAACTGCTCTGGTACTCCTGCAGAAACTAACTGATCTTCATGCAAGTTAAGAAATGCAGTCATTTCAGAAGTTTGGCCCATTTTTCTTAAACAGTAATTTATTTAATACCTATTCAATATTTGTTTTCAAGGGTACAATGCACAACACTAAACTCGTACCATGATTTTTTTTTGAGGTTATTCACAGTTCATTCAAACTATTAGGCATTCCAACGACCTGTCCAAATGGCTACCAGTGGGTAATGACAGTTTAGATATGGCAACCCTGTTGTCATTAACAGGGTCAATGATACATACATATATAGATTGCTCAAAGCTGGTCGTTTACGAGCGGCTATATTGCCTGGCAAATATTTATTAATTTGAATCGGTTTAGCAAAAATGTGTTTTAAAACCAATTTTTAGCCTTTAGATATTAAATAAAAATAATTGCTTACATTTTTACTTCAAGGCATACGCTTATGTTTATTTTGAAAAATATGGATAATCAATCTATGTAACTATCTATTTCATTGACCTTGTCAAATCACCAGGTCTACAGGGTTGCCATAATTTTGCAATATCATAACCCGTCAAAGCCCACTGATAGGCATTCAGTTTGGAATGCCTAATTCACAGAGAAGACCATCTCCAGCCATAGGTGAAATAGAAATTTTGCTGTGAACTAATTAAAGAGAGGCCGAAATAATTTACATTCTTCTCACTATCTAACATATTTCATTAAAAAGAGATATCTACTTTATTTGTTGTATCCAGTGTTGCCAGTCTAGTACATTTGTAGTAGATCTAGTACATTATTAAAGAATCTAGTACTCTTACTTTTTTCAGCCCGTTTGCATTTGACGGGTAAAATAATACTGGGTCTTCAACAATTAGGCATTCCAACGACCTGTCAAACAATAGGTGCCAGTGGGAAATTCTTGTATATCTAAGGGGGTAGCGACATAGTATTGCAACTTGGACGCTATTTTTATTCAAAGTAGTATTCGCCAAGCCTGCCAATTTATGAAGAAATGTATAGGTGGGTTTTTTAAATATTATTTTTATTGTGTTTGACATAAAATATTTAAATGTAATCCATTATTCATGATTTTACGTAAAGTAGATAGAATACACCATATGTCGCCACCCTTAGATATACCAAACCTGCCCACTGGTAATTCATTTGTTTGGAATGCCTAATACCGAAAACCCACGTGACCAAATCGTCATGACAGCGATTGGTGAAAATAAAAGTAAAAATCCCTAGATGTGAGCCAGTGCCGTAGGTATTTTATTACAAACTAGATCTTCTTCTTTTTTATGGACTGCAACTACGAGAACAAAATTCAGTTTGGTAACTGTTGGAATTATAACTCAAAATCATAATATTAATTAGAGGTGCTTTACATTATTGTATTTTAATGTTAGAATTTGATATTTTAATTAGATTTATTCAAATGCAATAATTTAAAATTAATATAACCTTAAAAACTGAGCTGTTATATCTAGTTTGTATTATTGTATTTAACGAAAAGAATAATAAACATGAAATATGCGTACTAGTTATTGCCACTATTGCAAAAAAAACCTTTACCAGAAAGTTATGGACAAAAAATGTTATTCATTAAAATATGAATAAAATTAAAAATTTACTTTAGATTGACTCTAAGATATTTAGCTACAGCTGAAACTTTAAATAAGATAGGCAGAAGACAATGGCAGTATTTGGAAATTATTGCAGTTTTAAGTTAACAAATTTAAAACTTACTGGAATTCTACCTGAGCAATGGGAAGTAATAAACAAATAATTTAAGTTTGTTCTATTATTTATTTGTTACAGGGTTTAAACCATTTACAAAATACATTGTTACTTATTTGTATACAAAAAAATATTAATATTATTAATGTAACAAGCACATATTTGTTTTACCTTACAGCTCTCACTTCTCACTTTAAATTATAAAGGCATACCTATTACCAACTATTTTATTTAAAAGGATATTGAGTAGTAATCGGTGGTGCACAAACGATACTAATTCACAGTACCTATCTGTTCAAAATCTTTACCACCAGCTTTAATATAAGCATTAATTGTTCTTCTTTGAACACATTATGCAGTTTCTCCTCAGTTGTATTTTGTATTTCATTTAATATAGGTGCTCCAGTTCATAAACGTCACACAAACGATTTTGAATTGAATGATCTGTAATATTCCATAGGTAGGTTTAATAAAATTAAGGTAAAATGATTGTTGCAGTAACGAAACTTTATAGGGGAGATGCAACAGAAATGTTTTCAATACTTTATGGCTAGTTCGTAGCGACAAACCTAAAAAATATATGTTTTGAATTTCACATATCAGAGTCAGTCTTTGAAACACCGTTCATACCTGATGAAGTGCTGTTTTTGTTTTAAAAACTTATTGGGAATTTGCACCATGTTAATTTGCACATCTTCAACCGCTTTTGTTATTACTTTGGGCCTATGGAGCTTCTTCCATTTATATAATTTTGAACAAATATTTGTTTATGACGACAAAAAAGAATCACATTCCATTTATTCACTGGTAAACGTTCCTCAAATTTTGGAATACAATTACGAATATAAAATAATTTTGTTCCAGTGTAACATTACCTGAAATAAATGAATACAGTCATTAACTTTTACAAGTTACAGTAAATAAATTTGTACTCACCAACAAAAAAGAATTAAGCCACCAATAATCTCTAAAAATAACTAATTGCTCCATTAATATTAAATGAAAAGTGGAATAAAGGTGTTTATAAAATGTAAACAAATATAATATAAATATTCTCAGTCCCCAAATGAACGCCAGTGACATTTCTGACAGGACTGTCAGTTCAGTTTAGTTCCTTTTACGTCAAATCAGGCCCTTTCGATGGGTTTTTGATGGTTATCAGATCACGTGGGTTTCGGGTATTGTTGAAGACCTGGTATATGGTTGGGTTCTTCCTTGTTTGTATTCGTTTTTAAAGCTTTTTTTTGCTCTTCTGAACGAACCGTCATAATTCGAAAAATATAGTACCTACAATTTATAATCTGGTTCATTTTTATGGAATCTGGTACATTTCTCAGACAAATCTGGTACATAAAAATATATTCTGGCAACACTGGTTGTTTCACAAAAATAGAAATATGTCATATGTCAATATTATTACCGCGCTTAAAGTAATTTGTTTATTTTTTAAGTAAAAAAAAAAAAAATTGATTTTGAAACTTGTGGTTTGCATTGCTTACACTAGTTACTAATTATTGTTTGACCACCTGTTGTATCTACATATTAATAATAATAATAATAATGGGAGTAAGTATTATACTTATATTTCTGTTTTTTTTGTTAATGGTATTTTTATAGAGAAAATCGGCAGCAAGCAGCGCTAAGAGTAAAGAAAAACGATTACAAAGGAAAGAGGAACAAAGTAGAATAAGCCAAGCAATGGCCATTGTGGCGGCTGCCAATAAGTTAGAAGACCCATTAGACCCATTTCCTGTTTTCAGGAAGTATAACAAAAATGGTATAGAAGTTGAATTATTTGTGACAAAAGTAGCTAATGTAGATCAAAGAACGAAGGATTGGGCATTTAATTTAACTAAAAAGAATATGCAACAAAAGTGAGCGTGTTAAATAAATTTTAAAGTGTTTTGTAATGTAATTTTGTTTATTAGATATGAACAATGCTCATGGGGTTGGAATGATTTAAAAAAGGCGGAAGAATTAACTGACGAAGCTGCTTGGTATCTTGTAGCTAAAACTTTAGATGGAAATCTTCTTGGGTTTTCGCATTTTAGATTTGACTTGGATGAAGGACTTGAAGTTCTATATTGGTAAATAAAAAAATAATGGTAATATTTCAATTTTTGATTTTTTTTTTTAAGTTACGAATTACAATTGGACTCTGCTTTTCAAAGGAAGGGATTAGGAAAGTTTATGATGCAAATACTGGAACTAATAGCTTTTAAGAATAATATGAGAAAAGTAGTGTTGACTGTTTTAAAGAATAACCAGTATTCAAAGTTTTTCAAAGCTCTCAAGTAAGTCATTGTTTACTTATAATCACAATAGAAAATATTTTACCAATAAAAGTCTACTACCTAACCAATAGTTAATAATGAACTTTTTATTACAAGTGCAGTTTGTCAAAAAAAAGTAGAAAGATATTTTTTTATTTATAACTTAGGCCTACATCTGGAAGTTAAAATATTCCTACTTATATTTCCATTTTAAACAATATAAAATATTCATCAAGAGTATTTATCTAAAATCTTCCCCGTTCTTGACCATCATTTTCCCACCTACATTATATTTTTCACCTGACTTGATGGTTCATGGAATTCCTTATGATAAGGCTTCATCCAAGGATTTTATTTGTTTCATGTGTTCATATATTATATCTTGTTTTGTTGTTCAAATAAAGCATGGTCGAGAAGCAAATTTGTCCTCAATTACTTGTTAGGTGTTGGAAAATGGGTAAAAAATTACTTTTCAACTTTTTCTTGCCTTAAATTTTAGAATACCTGTCGTTTCATTCCAGAGCAGACTTACTTCAAACAAAAATATTTGGTTTGAGTAGTTATAATAATAATAATAATAATAATAATAATAATAAATGGCCTTTATTTGTACATACTAAAAATACAAAAAATATGTAGAAATGTACATTTGCCTGGGCGAGATTTAGCCTAAGGCTATAGTTAAGTTTTAATTTCAGAAAGTCACTTAAATGGTCAGAAACTGGCGCAGTGACTCTACTGCATCCCACTGGCATAGCTAGGGCAATTCAGTGCCCACAGGGGCCCCTCCCATAATTGTAATTATTATATTCAGATTCGTATTTTAAAAATGTTTATTTTCAAATGTCTAACATTATAGCATTACAAAATGTTCTCAATCAAAACTCAAAACTATTTAGTTCAATATTTTACTATTAAAACAATGAATTACATTTTTCTATTGCTGAGAAATTTTTAATATTTTATTTATTAGTTTATGTAATGTATTAAAAGTTAATTTTTAGTGTCATACTTATTTAAATGTGTTCCACTTTTTTACCAATTTAAACTTGGTGTTCTATAAGCTTTTACGAAAGTGTAAAACAGCCACAATTTTTTTTACAAATTCCGACTTGTAAAGCCGGGCCAAGATGAGTTTGGTACACAACATGGTGACGACAAAAGTTGCGCACTGGCTGTTGTCTAGCAACGACGCTCGGTGAAGCCAAACTTAGTCATTTAGTGGCGTAACTTGGGTCGAGTATATACAAAGTGAATAGAAGTGAATAGAGTGCGAAAAGTGACAATTTTATATAATTATAGTGCCTTGTGATTTATATTTACATATAAGTATTGTGTTTTTGTTGTTGTAATGGCTCCAAAGAGAATCGGATTAAAAGGGAGGTCCCTTAATAGTCAAACAAGAGAAATTATATATAATATTACTAAATTTATGGAAAAAGAAGCAAATGAAGGATTTCAAATTCCTCTAAAAAATTATCGGTGAGTATGATAATATAGCATTTATTTTATAACAGTCGTATACATAACAAGTAGTAAGAAGCGTTGGCGGCTAGTGCAATAATTCCACGAGCATATAATTATCTACAATCAGAATTATACATTCATAATAACGAGAAGGTTTTCATAATTTATAACATTTAATAAAAAAGTTGTAAATTGCAAATGCAAATACTGAATTAACTGAAGAACAATTGTTTTAGAAACAAACGTTTGTTAATAGTATTGCGAATCAACAGTTTCTTTTAAAATTAATATTTAAAATATTTACCTATTTCATCAAAAGAAATTTTGCTTTTAAAACCATCTGATTACCGTTTAACATATAACAGATTGCCCATAATTATGAAGGTTTGAATAATTGTTCCATAAGTTCCCCAAAGTAAATATGCCGATTTTTCTATTTCTAAAACGTCGAAACTATCGTAACCATAGCGATCACCTAGATTGAAAAATAAGCTTTTACCAATGATACTAAAATTTCAAATATTCAAGTTGAATCCATTGCGTAGACAAGAGCTTGGCTATCAATGATTACATTAATAAATATTTATTATATGTAATTTAATAATAATATTGGTAAATTGGTACTTAAATAAGTCCTCTATTTCTTAATAGGTATTATTGTATACCTGTTAATACGCAATTCCCAGAATTTGAAAATAGGAAGTCAAATATTCAAATTGATCTATTATGTAGACAATACATAATTAATATCAAATCGAGGGTAATTATGGCCAAAACGGGCGTACAAAATAGGGACTGACACAGGTAACTTCACCTCTATATATACAGGGTGTACCGAAATTAGATGGTCATATTTTAACAGCGTAATCTACATCCTAAAATAGGAGTAAAAGTTCATATAAACATAGGTCCGAAAACGTTTCTTTTCCGAGATACAGGGTGTTACAAGTGAAGTCGTGATAGCACATTTTTCTAAATATTATCTAAAATTTCCTTTAGTCACCGGTTTTCCAAAGTAAAAAAAATAAAATTTTTGATTTCACAGGCATACTAATTATTGTTTACACTTTCGGATAACTTATCATGAAATTTTCAAATACTTTTCTTTCGAAAAAGGTGCGCCCTAGCGAGATGCAACAATAGTAGCTTTATTGTAAAGAAATCATGGTTTTTTCAAATTTTATAGTCAAAAATGATAAAAACTGCCAACAAAAAAAACTTAGGGCAATTTTACCCTAAGCCCCCCTAATTTACCCACCTATGAAGATGATCAAAAACTGGGGTTTAGTCCATTAAATAGAGCGTAAAAAGTTAACCATTTCTACCAAATTTCACTTAATAATCTTTAATGCTTTAGAAAATATTTACAAAAGTGTGTCATCAGGACTTCACTTTTAACACCCTGTATCTCGGAAAAGAAACTGTTGCCTAATTTGCCGGAGAAATCTGTATTAGTTATAGACAATGCTTCATACCACAATGTAACTGTGGAACGAAATATAACATCAGCAAGTCTCAAATTAGCCATGACAAAATGGCTAAAAGAAAAAGACATACCTTTTCAGGAATCAATGACAAAACCGGAATTGTACAAAATTATTAAAGATAATAAATACAGATTTCCGGTAGTTTATAAATTAGACAGATTATTGGAGGCACACGGTCACAAAGTCCTTTGGCTTCAACCCTATCATCCTGATTTCAACCCAATTGAAAAAATATGGGCTTCTGTAAAAAAATTGGGTAGCAGCAAGAAATACCACATTCGCTTTAGTTAATGTAGAATCGTTAACACGAGAAAGGTTTGCAACATTGCAAGTAGAAGAGTGGGTCAACATTTGTCGACATGTCAAGGAATATTAAAAAAGAACATTTGTTGGACTCCACAATGGACCATTTAAGGTTTACAGTAAATACTGGATCATCGGATGAAAGTTGGTCAGAGGATGAAGACAGTGATGTTAGTTTAGGAGTACAACAGCTCTCTGATTTAGAATCGGACGAAAATTAGATTTGTGTCTCTATATGTATTTTTGTAATATATAAGTATTTTAATATTGTCTTATTTTATTATCACATATACACACATATATAAAAAAAAATATTTAGAATAAAATTCACATCATAGTACCTAGTTAGTAATTAATCATAATACATAATTTAAAATAAAAAAGGTAATACAAATTACTAACGTCCGCCTCTGCCTGTGACGTCACACCTTCGCGCAGGGTCGAGCACGTGGCTGTACCAATCTCATCTTGGCCGGCCTATACCTCGTAATTCCGACTTATCACAGAATTCTTACTTGTAATTTGGAATCCCAAACAAACAACTCGGAAATCCAATTCAAAAGGTTAAAATCATAATTGTGACTCATGATATTGAATAAAGACCTTGATTAAACTTGATATACAGCACAATTTGTCAGGAGAAAAGAAAACAAGGACTAGTTACTTGAAAAAATGTATAAAAGAACGTGATTTGAAAACAAGAGACTCCTCCCTCGGACTTAATACAGGTTCTGATATTTCAAATCAAAATTGATTTTAATGAATCTAAAGGGTTTGCAAGAGTACCTGTGGCACATACTTACTTCAAACTTTTACAAATTTCCCTAAGTTATGAAAACTTTACGACATTTAAAACTGAGTTCAATAATATACTCACATCCATTATACAGTGTGTAACAGCCAAATGTAATAAATTCAGTTGCTTAATTACTGTTCATATTTATACAAAATTCCAAGATATGTCAATTTTAGATTATAAAATGACATCCTGCAATGTGAAAATGTCACATTTACCTTCAACCCCCTTCGAGTGACAGTTGCAACCCCCAAATTTGTAAATAGGAAGTAGGTGCTTGTGATACCTCATTTGAAAGGCATCTTTATTATCTGTGCAAAAATGCTGTAGTTTTTAAATTTACTGCAAAAATTAAGGTTTATCTTACCCGACCAAAAAATAAATCTATTGTTCAAAATTTTTCAAAAAATTCACCTAACATACTCATCAAATAAATAACTAATGGACAAATTTTGAAAAAAATCTGGTAAGCCATTTTTGAGGAAAAAAATATTTTGTTCAAAAATTCAAGTAAGTAAAAAGTTATCTTTCATCAGTTTTTTTTTTAAATTGTTCTATGCGATCTCTATGTCATTGTTATACCAAGAGAATTTTTATAAAATTTTTAAACTTACAGTTTCTTATAAATAATAATAATAATAATATTATTATTTCACAATTAATTATCTCTAAAACTTTTATAAACGTACAAAATTAGTCTATTTCCTTTTATTATAACTTTCTATTGCTTTACACACCACCTAAGATTTATTCTCAACACTGAATAATCGTAAAAAATTACTAAAAACGTTTTAATTTATTAAATATTTTTAAATTTGGTACCTAAAACATTAATCCAGTCGGTGCTGCTAAGAATAGATATTGAATTAACGTTTCTGAATTTACCCACTTTAATGTATCGTGATCGCCGAAATTTTTACAAAGTTGCCAAATCGAATTACATATCAGATAATAACGGATATTAATAT